TGCTTATTCCTTAGGGTCTGAGTGTAGCAGGCCTTTAGATTTAAGGGGTGAGACCCCTGATGAGTCAGTCGTTTTATGCTTGATGTAATTCCAAAAACTTTTCATACTGCTGGACTCCCTCTCGCCGTCCTTTGGAGTGACTATATCTTCAATGTGCTGTCAATAGGCCCTGCGTAGTTCCCTTTGAATCCTTGAGTTCATTTCCTTATATTTTGCTATGATTTCTGGGTTGAGATTTCCTTTTCTTTTTGTAGAGACTTTTTTTCTGCGGATGGGTTTCTTTAGTTCTTGAGAGATCCATGTTACTATCTTTGTGTCTTGCTATCTTATGAGGTATGTTCTTATGAATGCTTTCTTCCAGGCCTTTCTTGAATGTTGTCCACAGTGTGTTGACGCTGGCTCCATGACTATCCCCTTCCTGTATTATCATACCGATGCTCTCAATATCATTTGCCATAGTATCCCACTGTGCTCTCTTGTATAGTGATATCTTCCTTGGCTGCAAATTCCTTTTACATTATCTAGTTATTAACTATTATAGTGACAATTGCCAGCTCTTTATCGAATCTCCAATAATGTATCTTTAAGATTAATGTTTCCGTCATACAAATTGAGTTGTTTTCTCGTCTCAAATCATCTGAGAATTCGCAATACATTTATTTAACATGAAGCGATAAACTGTTGTTAAATGGTGTCTGGGTGTCTGATAGTTTTTAACGGTAGAAATATTATAATGTGGCGGAAAGTTTAAAATTGAGTTGGTTGTATTGGAAAAACGTCTGGCTATTTCAATCCCTTTTTTTTCAGAAATGAAATGAATTTCAAATGGAGGCTTTTATAGGAATTGAAATGGACTATGTATAGGATATTAACCTACCCGAGGGAGAGTAGGTTTATATCCGACATATACAACGTCATTTCACCCTTAAATTTAATGGGCTCTTCCATTAAAAGGCAACAACGATTGGATAATTGCTCGATAGTTTCCGCCAAATAGCGAAAATTACCGAAGTAATCACGTGCAATTACGTGCATGTTTTTGTTTATACGTCGGCATTTTGGACTATTGAATTGAAAGCAAAAACAAAATGGATAGTTATACGAAGTCAGACGAATAATCAATCCTTTTTAGCCAACATATTGACGATGGAATAGATGTGAATGCAAATATCGACGAGAATCTATCCAAAGCCTGCAGAAAATTTGGACCAAAAGGCATTCTTTTCCAAGAATTCTGACAGTGAACCATGATTGAAGGTTTTCGGTATGTTCAGAGAAGGATTTGACCGACTGTTTTAAGTGGACTGTACCCAAAAATACTTTACAAAGGAACTCTTGGGCGATAAATACTTTCAAGTCGTGTAGTGTGTGGAGAAATAATCGCAATGTGGACGAAAAGAAAATTCTGAAAAATGTCTTAGACATGGATAACCGATCTAAATACATGTATGTCGATAAGTACGCCGTCTATTTCGGTCCTGAATGTTAGAAACTGTACCATAACAAATTTTAATTGTCAAAAGAATAAAAATTTATTTCTGTGTTTTTTTGTATTATTTCGATCATCTACGTCATCAGCGGTTGATATGAGCCGAATATATTGACCTGAGATGACGTCGTTAGCAGTTGATATGAAATATCAACCTGTCATGACGTCATCAGCGGTTGATATGAACGAATATATCAACCTTTGATGAGGTTGTGACAGGTTGTTATGAGATATAACTGCTATGGACATCAAAGTAAAAACTACCGCCAGTTTATATAACTAGATATCAAACCTCATCTCCAAACCGTCCGTGTTTCGAGATAAGAGACAGCCTATATAGTTCCACGTAGCAAAGCCCAACGCAAATCACAACGGGCCTAAGTAAGCAAAATTGACAATATTTTTCATCAAAACTACGATAGATTATTGTTATTTATAATATTTCTGCCACATCCAACTACAATTAAGCATATAATCCTATCCGAAACAGGTTAAATCATCGTATTTAAAATCGAGGCGTTAAGCCATTAATAGGAACACCATTTTTAAACGGGAGATGTATGACGGTGTATGTCGGATAAAAACAACGCTTCATTAATTTAAACGTGAAAATTTGGAGTAAGGCGATAGTTGTGGCATTACATTGTCCTCTGTAAGTTTAGTTAGTCATAATAGGAAATTGAGTTTGCCACTTGGAACTAAAGGCGCCGAATCGTAGCTAAAAACAGGCACATCAGTATATCTTAAAGCTTTTAGGTACGATCTCGTAGCTAGAGTATATCAGTTTACATTTCTACCATAACTGGGCTAATGAAGATAGTGATACAGAAATGAAATTAAATGGGGTTTAACATCCTACTGTTTTGCTCCGAACTGGGCTAATGAAGATGGGCATAAGCCATAAAGTGTGCTATGAGAGTAATTTAGCCCGGGCAGCGGCACTACGGCCTACTCTTATATCGAATTCCAACTGTCAAGGGATCTTTTACGTGCACTTCAATGTGTACACGGACCTCTGCTTTCCATCCCATTCGAACGACTATACAGCTGTCCTTGTCAGGCCCTCCGTCCAGCACCACTGACAAGGGGAAACCATGTCGGAAAAGAAGATGTGATACAGGATGCTACGAGGGACAGCGACGTTTATACCAACCTAATCTCCATCTAATTCCAGCCTATCAACATTCCACTTTTCCAAGAAGACCAAAATCATCTTTGGTATCCCCAGTGCTCTCATTGCGTTTCACTCCACTATCAAGTTATCTGCCCTTGATTGTAGCATGATTCTACGAACCAATCAAAAAACAGTTTACAAAACAAACCAGTCTCACAACAATATGGCGGCTTGTTCGCTCGATTATGAGAAAGTTTGCAACAAGATAAGAGTTACTTCCCTTCATCAACTTGATTTGTATTTAACGATTTATTTTGATTGGTCGATAGAAATAGCACAATCATCAAGGACAGGTAATATGACATGAAATGAAGTTTAACGTCCTACTGTTTTGCTCCGAATTGGGCTAATGAAGACGGGCATACGCCATACAGTGTGCCCTCCGTCTTCGGGATTTTCCGGCGTGGTCTCTGTTTGTCAGTGGTGCAAGAACGAAGGTCTGGGAAAGGACTTGTATTGTATAGTCGTTCGCATGGGGCGGAAAACCGAGGTCCTGTATAGCCTATACATTGGCGTGCATGTAAATGACCCCTTGGCAGTTGGAATTCGAGTAGGCCTTAGTGTTGATCCATAAATGACGACAAAAAAGGGAGATAACTTTTAGACTGAACTAACCAGACGCAAATAACTGCTCGCGTATTTCACCAAACGTAATATACTTATTAGTAATTACAATAAATAAAATAAAATGTAAGTCAGTTTATATACATTAAAGATAAAGTATGTGGGGATCACGGTGGCTAAGTGGGAAAGGCGCTGGCTCGCTAGCCTGCAGGTCGGGTGTTCGATCCCTGCATTGGCCGAGTAAGTTCATCCCGATTTTCCGGCGTGGTTCTCCCTTGTCAGTGATGCAGGACGAAGGGGCTGACAAGTCGTTCGGATGGGACGAAAAACCGAGGTCCCGTGTAGTCATTGGCGTGCACGTAAAAGATCCCTTGACAGTTGGAATTCGATATAAGAGTAGGCCGTAGTGCCGCTGTCCGGGCAAAATTTCCCTCATAGCACACTGTATGGCGTATGCCCGTCTTCATTAGCCCAGTTCGGAGCAAAACAGTAGGACGTTAAACCCCATTTCATTTCATTTCATTTCGATACATTATGTAAGATTTAGATAAAGAGCTGGCCACTCTTGCTATAATAGTTCAAAAATAGATAATGCAAAATGAATAATTTGAAAATTTCATTCAAATTACTCTATTGAGAGGGAAGATATTAGCCTTTGAAGGTTTGACAAGACGTGTGTAATAATTTCAACCACCGTACTGGTTGTTCGAAGCTAAGTCTCGCTCCTCCATTTTTAGCTTAAATCAAAATTTAGCTGAGCTATTCTACTCTATTTAATATCCGAGAAATCTGATGACATAGAGAGTTGATTATGGCCTAGATAAGTTAATTAATGTCTAATTAATAATTTAGAAAACATTTTAGGTCTAAAGAAAGACCTGCAATAGGCAGATTTAGCTCTTGCATAATGTATGTTTAATAATGATTAATACAATGACATCATTATTAATGTGACGTCATAATTTATCTTTAATAATATCTGTTTCTCGACCTACCTTCGTATATGTTACATCCTTTGCATCGCAACTGTCAAGATGCCTTCCGCGTTGTACAACTCATCATACCGTATCATGGCCAATCGTATCCCAGTCATACCGTATCACGGCCAATCGTATCCCAGTCATACCGTATCATGGCCAATCGTATCCCAGTCATGCCGTATCATGGCCAATCGTATCCCAGTCATACCGTATCATGACCAATTGTATCACAGTCATACCGTGTCATGGCCAATCGTATCCCAGTCATGCCGTATCATGGCCAATCGTATCCCAGTCATACCGTATCATGACCAATTGTATCACAGTCATACCGTGTCATGGCCAATCGTATCACAGTCATACCGTATCATGACCAATCGTAACACAGTCATACCCTATCATGTCCAATTGTATCCCAGTCATACCGTATCATGGTCAATCGTATCCCAGTCATACCGTATCATGGTCAATCGTATCCCAGTCATACCGTATCATGGCCAATCGTATCCCAGTCATAACGCAATCATAGTTTATTTGAATTTGCCATCAAGTCCTGTCGACCTCTGTTTATATTTTCTTTTGATGAATGCGTTCATTGACGTTTTAAAAGAAGCAGTTTATAGAAACACCAGTGGAACGAGATATCGTATTCCCAAGGGGACTTGAAATAATATCACCATTGATGCTTTGTTGCGTCAATCTCCTGTCAGACCACGCATTCTACCTGGCTGTGGGTGGCAAACTAATGGCGATAATTTATTCATCTTTTACATAGTGATCACTATAAAAAGGCGGGAAAAGGCACGCGCTGTCTTTACGAGTAACAGACGAGGGCCCGCGTGACTGGAAACCAAACCTCAAGTTATTGTTGTATTTGATTGCGAAAAGTTGCAAGATTGTTTTTTCATTGTTGATCGTGCGAATAGTTAACGTCTGCCTAGAGAAAAGAAGACAATTTATAAACCAAAAAAACAACTACAACAACAGGTTAGATTTTTGCTTTTAATTTCAGAATTATTATTGTTATTATTACATATTTCTATACGTGGGTTGGGTGGCCGAATGGTTAGCTCGTGCGCGCTGTATAATGAGGTCTGTCATTTCCCAGTTGTACGTGACAAGGAGTAGGGTCGCCTGTCCAACCTCGAAGGTTTTCTCCGGGTCCTCCAGTTTCCTCCCACTGCTAAAAACCCCTACGCGCAAGCGAATTATTTAAATATAATTGAACTATGTGTTAGTGCCGAAATGGCATAGTTTGTGTCGAGTGGACGTTAAACCCCATTTTTCTCTCTCACTATTACATATTCTATACGCCATATAAACGTGCTCATGAGCGCTGTACATATAAATATTATAGATCAAGACTATCTATTACATATAACGAATGGATTTTACATTAAAAGGTCCATACAAACTTGCCATTAGCAGTTTTATTACATTAAAAACAAAATTACAATTTGTATAAATTATGTTCCTTCAATTTGCAGTTTTATAAGACTACAAATAATTTGTATAGATTATGTTCGTTCAGTATGTTCGTTCAATTTACAGTTTTATAAGAATACAAATAATTTGTATAAATTATGTTCGTTCAATTTGTAGAAATTTTGTTCATCTTGAATTTTTATTAAAGTTCATTCAATTCGTATTTATTTTAATAATAGAAACCAAATTGCGATTTGTATCAATAATGTTCGTTCAACGTTAACTTTTGTAAGGGTAAAAGGAGAATTTCAAATTCTGTTCGTTCAGTTTGCAGTTTTTTGGAATAAAAATAATTTGCATAAACCGTGAGTTTTTAATGATTGATAAAAATGTTCGTTTAATTCGTAGTTTATAGGCCCGTAGCTAGCAGAGGGGCACGGGGGCAGCCCAACCAATGTCACTCGTTTTTATGGGGCACCCATACTGATATGGGCACGTTGGTCGTTGGCTTCGTATTGCATCCAATGGAAAGGCGCGGTTCGGCGCCCAGACAGGACAGCTGTTACGGGCCTGAGTTTTTTTTAAAAACGAAATCGTTCAATTCTCAGTTGAATCGGAGTCAAACATTACAATAAGTTACGAACCAACTTATTCTGATATGATGTCGACAAAATGAAATGGGGTTTAATATCCTACTGTTTTGCTCCGACTGGGCTAATGAAGACGGACATACGCCATACAGTGTGCTATGAAGGAAATTTTCCCCAGACAGCGATGCTACTCTTATATCCATTTCCAACTGCCAAGGTATCTTTTACGTATATGCCAATGTATTCATGGGACCTCGGTTTTTCGTCCCATCCGAACGACTAGGCAGCTGTCCTTGTCAGGCCCTCCGTCCTGCATCCCTGACAAGGGGAAACCACGCCGGAAAATCCCGATGAACTTTCTCGGCCAATGCAGGGATCGAACACGCAACCCCCAGGCTAGCGATCCAGCGTCTTACCCACCTAGCCACCGTGGCTCCTCATTTTCGGCACTATTGGATATGACGAAAAGCCGAGGTCCCGTATACAAATTAGCATACCCGTAAAAGATTAGCCCGTAGCACCACTGTCCGGGCAAAAGTTCCCCCATAGCACTTTGCCGGTAGTATGCCCGCCTTTTTAACCCGGTCGGAACAGAACAGTGGGACGTTAAACCCCATTTCGTTTCATTTCCTAAACATTAAACTGATTGGTGTGCACGTTAAAGATTCCCAGGAATTTGATATAAGAGTACGCCGTAGCGCCACTGTCCGGGCAAAATTTGCCCCATAGCACACTGCATGGCGTATGTCCGTCTTCATTAACCCAGTCGGAACAGAACACGGGTACGTTAAACCCCATTTCATTTAGAAACAAACACTGGTAAGCTGATACCGTTGACTAAACCATATAAGTGGTTAGTATTCTAAACTAATGTTTAGTATGTATAGAAAGTGGTTAGAATCTATACAGGTGTGTAACTATTGAATACACAAACCTGGACAATAGTGATGTATGTCATTCAATAGTCACAGTTTTAACACCGTAGTGACAAAACACCTACTTAATGGCTACTGCCTGATAACAATTTTAACAAACTAATACACATTATGTATATAAACTGATGACTTTGATGGATTAGTGTCGTATATTTTCGTTAATAACAGTATTTTGTTGCTTAGTCAACGATATCAACGTTACAGTGAAATCGAGAATAAAGTCAAGTTTAGCATTTAAATTACGGTTTAATGAACACTCTAGAGAGATGAAACTCGCTAAAGTCATTTGTTAAAAAAACTGTCATAGTAGAAGGAATTAGAGAGTCTTGACTTTATTGTTGAAAAAAAACTCGATTTATTGTCGATTTATTTGCCAGGCATTTTATACCAGTCCAAAATTACGTCGTTTTAATTCACATATATTGTTATTAAAATAACTGGAGACAATCTGTTTCACAGAGTATTACGAAAGTATTCTAATATCTCTGTAAAAGAGGACTGCCTTCAACACATGACGTCATATCACGCGGTGTCAATCATTGGCTCGTTTACTCATTTTAATACCCATTTACACTAAAACAGGAAATAATTTTTAACTACAAATACTTCAAACGTCTTTATTTTTCTAATACATAAAAAAAAAATATTTTAGAAATTAATTTGTCAGAGGAAAAAAGTTGATATTTGTGGCACATTAAGTCGCATCGATGTCATCCTTATCACTGGTGGCTAAGTGGGTAAGACGCTGGCTCGCTAGCCTGGAGGTCTGGTGTTCGATCCCTGCATTGGGCCGAGAAAGTTCATCCCGATTTTCCGGCGTGGTTTCCCCTTTTCAGTGATGCAGGACGGAGGGCCTGACAAGTACAGCTGTCTAGTCGTGCGGATGGGACGAAAAACCGAGGTCCCGTGTACACATTGATGTGCACGTAAAAGATCCCTTGGCAGTTGGAATTCGATGTAAGAGTAGGCCGTAGCGCCGCTGGCCGGGCAAAATTTCCCTCATAGCACACTGTATGGCGTATGCCCGTCTTCAATTAGCCCAGGTTAGGTGCAGAAGAGTAGGACGTTAAACCCCATTTCATTTCATTTCATTTCGTGACAAGGAGTAGGGTCGCCTGTCCAATCTCGTGGTTGAACTTTCTGGATGAACTTTCTCGGCCAATGGAATGATCGAACACCCGACCTCCAGGCTAGCGAGCCAGCGTCTTAACCACCTAGCCACCGTGCCCCCTCCCCCACGAGATTGGACAGGCGACCCTACTCCTTGTCACGTACAACCAGGGATTCTTCAAAATCAATTAAGAAAAGTGTATCAGGTTTCCAACTTTTTCATGGTCTATCAATGATCTTTACATTCATATTGAAAAAAATTAGGTGGGTTGAATGAAATGTGTAGGTTTGCCCTGAAAATCAGGACAATGTCCTACTTTTCTGAGAGCCACGTGGGGGGGGGGGGGGGGGCTCAGTGAGTAGGAAGTTGACTCGCTAATCTAGAGATCGCGTTTCGATCCTTACGTTGGTCTAGAAAATTCATCAGGATTTTCCGGCGTGGTTTCCCTTTGTCAGTGGTGCAGGATATTGGGCCTGACAAGGGACAACGTGTAGTCCTTCGGATTGGATGAAAACCCGAGGTCATGTGTACACATTGTCGTACACGTAAAAGAACCCATGACACGCCCTACTCACAGATTGTACCATACTAAACGTAGGCTGCCTGCTTACACTTTATTCCGCTTGAGAACAGACACTAAGCTAGTTGACCGACATTTTAATTCCTACATCGACAATTTTAGTCGAAAACACTGAGTATACCTCCAATTTATTGGAATTTAAATGGTTAATAGTCTTTGTGTAAATGCTAGATGTGAAACGGAATAGAACCGCAAAACAAAACAATACACTAATTTTTGGATATGGCGGTCATTTAGGAGAGGAAACCGGCGGACCCGGAGAAAACACACGAGTTAGACAGGCGACACTACTCCTTGTCACGTACAAGTGGGTAATTGAAACCACGCCAGTTGACTCAATGACAGACCTTATGATACAACGCGTACGCGTTAACCATTCGACCATCCAACCCCGTCATTTAGGACAGAGATCTATTCTCAAAGTATGAGGGGATCACGTGGCTAATTGGGTAAGACGCTGGCTCGCTAGCCTGGAGGTCGGGTGTTCGATCCCTGCATTGGCCGAGAAAGTTCATCCAGATTTTCCGGCGTGGTTCCCCCTTGTCAGTGATGCAGGACGGAGGGCCTGACAAGGTCAGCTGTCTAGTCCTTCGGATGAGACGAAAAACCGAGGTCCCGTGTATACATTGGAATGCACGTAAAAATCCCTTGGCAGTTGGAATTCGATATAAGAGTAGGCGATAGTGTCGCTGCCCGGGCAAAATTTCCCTCATAGCACACTGTATGGTGTATGCCGTCTTCATTCGCCCAGTATAGGAGCAGGACAGAAGGACGTTAAACCCCATTTCATTTCAATTCATCTCAAAGTATGAAGTAGATGGAGTTCGGCATGCCGAATGAGATTGTGTATGACGTACTCGCGTGTTGAGATATCATAACTTATCACTTTATTCTTTTATATTACACAACAAATTCAGAATAAATGTATCAAATTTATGATTTAAATCGGAAACTAGACCCTCGCATTTCTTCTTCTCTTCAAAAATATAATGAACACTTTGGCCAAAATATATTAATTTGAAATCGGAGGTGACTTGAAGCTACAGGCGGTATTTGTGTTGGAAGAAATCCATCAGATAAAACAAGAGAGATCTGATTTCAAATATATATATATATATATCTATTGATGGACTTCAATCTCTGTTTGTTTTACCGTTGTGTAGGTTTTAAATATTTATACAGGATTTGGTTTCACAGAGTCAGAGAGAGAGAGAAATGGGGTTTAACGTCCACGTCAATCTTTTGTTTTACGTATTTACGGGTGTTTAGGTTTTAAACATTTATAAAGAGTTTGATTTTAAACATAAAGGATTTGGTTTCAGAGAGAGAGAGAGAGAGAGAGAGAG